AAAACACACAATCGCATGTGGTTTTCAAGTGTGACTACAAAGGAACAGCTCAGAATGCAGTGACACCTAATGGCAAAGACATCGTTATAAGCCATAAATTTATTTTCTAATAAACATTACATTTGTAGTAAAATTACCTTGTGTGCATGCTACTCACCAATGATCTGAGAAACCTGAAGATCAAACAAGAATGCTAAAATTTGTTTTTAAAACTAAAGTAATATATTCAGCTGAAGGAAGAGTGGGGGAGTTTCTTATGGTTTTAAAAATATGGTTTTGAACTTACAATAACCCTTTAGTATTAAAAATAATCCCTCGTGGCCCTGTCAGGTGAGCACTGGACTGCTAACCAAAAGGTCAGCGGTTCAAATCATGTAGCCACTTCTTGGGAGAAAGATAAGGCTCTGCTTCAGTAAAGATTCACACCCTTGGTTGCCCTTGGTGGAGTCAATATGAGTGGGAAGGCTTTAGTATAAAGTGACAGTGTGATCAAATGAGTCTTTGAGTTCAGTATAGGAAGAAATGCATCTTCCGTTATTCCTAATAATCTCAACTGGTTTCGATGTTGGATCAATCGCTAGGTAGTTATCTTAATGTTTATTCACAATTGAATTAAACATTGTGAGAGATATTTAGTGAACGTACATTTTACCTGCAGTAGAAATCAAAGGTCCTTAGTATAATAGCTTATTAGTTATGTCAAAATTGATATTGCTGATGAATTACAACATTGTCTAATTTAATGCACATCCAAATTATGTACCAAATAACTGTATTAACAATGGGGAAAATAATAGCTACGTAAGCTCCTATTTTAGAGTTAGTTATTAATGTTTTCTAGAAGTCTACACTCCTAAATTGGGGAGCACACTTTAGAAACATAGGCTATGGGAACATTGAGATATCTTAGACAAGACAGAGTCTTTGATGATACCTGGAAGCTATCATTAACCAATGTATATCATGGAAAAATATAGCCGGAAATATTTTAGGGTAAGACATCATCTACATGCATAGATTTCTCTTTCATAAAATAATCCTTAGTATGGACTAAAGAAAACTGATGCTGTAAATTCATCATCCATTATTTTGTTACTCTGATGACACATTTTATTAACCCCCAATTTTGTATGTTAATTCGAACATCTTCATGATGAAAACACTCAGTGAATTGTCTTTGCTTCTCACGTATAATGTCTTAGTTGATGTTTGTGATCTCAGAAGATAAAATATTGCTTGCTTTTCTGCCAATGTTTCTTTCTCCTTGTTGGCATTTTACTCTGAGAGATCACAACAGAAATATGCTGATGATCTGTGTTACATCTGAAAAAGTATGCTTTTTGCAATATTCCCTGGTATCGATATATACCTGAGGATAGCTCATGTACAATTAGTTCTGAGCACTAGTACCAGATGAAGAAATGAACTTCTATTAAACTGTTAAAACATGAGATCCTCCATATTAGATAGAAAGCAAAACACAAACTGTGCACTTGACTGGAAATGCCACCTAATCCCTGCTTAATTAAAGCAGTGCTCTAAACTCCTGTTGTGTTTAGGGAGTAAAGAGTGGGGGACGATTGATGTATGAAGAAAATAGCAGTCAGCGTGGCTAATCTCAAAGACTTTGGAGCTTTCTAGCTACATAAATCAGAGCGACTTTTGAATAGCCTCATAAAACACAGGATCGTTGCCATTCCCCTCACGACTGTTTGGTTCTTCCTACAGCATGCAGATCATTAGGGAACTTCTAAGCAATCAAGTAATGTGGGTCTGATGAAATTACTCAATCAATGCACAGGCTCAAAGTAGAAGCATAATTCAAAATTGCATAGTTTTTATAAGTCAAAAGACCTTTCTTTTATTGGGGCTAAAAAAATCACAATGAAGGTGATTTATTTCTATAGATTATATGTGTTTGTATGTGTACATGTGCATTCAATGTGCAACAAATCAAATATCTTTAAGGTATGGTTTAACAGAAACTTCAAAGTAAATAGCATTTATTTTGACTGAAACGAAGGCATTTTATTTCAATCACTATACTTACCCTTTATCTTACCATTGCAAACCAATGTGGTTTTAAATTATACCGGTGTTTAAATATATAGAATTGAACTCAGAAATCTGTATGGAGTAAAAAGAGAGAGAGAGGGAGGATTTCCTACATGCTTACTGCTTCAATATCAAAAGTAGGCACTATTCAAAGAACCTAATACAGCAGTGTCCAGCCTTCTTTCCAGTTGCCTAACTTACATACTGCAGCTACTTTTTGTTTGAACACATAACATGAGGTCGAGAAAGGCTTTCATTTCTGCCTATCTCTTAGTATCCCTGACGTTGAAACGTTCCTGTTACCTCTACCATCAGTCAAATCCCTATTGTCCTGAAATGCACTTTTCCAAAAGCATATTTCTCCAATCAAATATTTAAATGATGACAATTATCTTCTGGGGGGAGGGGGGGATTTTCCTACTCTATTCAAGTAAGTAAATTAGGCTGATCTGATGGCTAATTGGTACTTCTCAGTTTTGATATGGATTTTGCAGTTTGGGATTTATTGTACTTTTGCTGAGATTGGAGGTGGGAGGAGGGCTTTTAATCTCTGAAATGCATACAAGTTAGCCACGGTCATTCTTTAGAAAAACACAAATTGATGGGTTAATAATGTAAATTTTATTTAAAAAGATAAGTTTTTAAAAGAATGGCCCACTTCCTAGCTTCCTGACAATATTAGGTAGTCTATAAAAGATGCTGATCGTCTTGTCTAATATATCAGTCACATTAATTAATTGTCTAAGTTAAAGTCAAATTAATTGTCTAAGAAGCAACTAGTTGACATATTGCATTTAGTAGGATGTGCACAGTTAATACAAAGAACCAGTTTCCTAAAAAATAAATTCTGTAATTTGTACAGTTACTTTATTGGGGGTGGGCAGGGGGGGGGTCTGGTTAACATAAAGTAATCCAAGTCTCACTGACACACAACAGAATGCAAAGGGGAAAAATTATGACAGTTGTTTTCTATTTTGAAATAAATGCCCCGATTGTATTGCAAAAATAGCATTCATCTGGTAAAGCATAGCAAGATCTCTAGGTGTTTGTAAATAAATAGGTCTATTTATCATTTGGATCACAAAATAAGCATTAAAATAAACATTTATCCACAAGCTGTCCCTCTCGAGGGATGAAGAGTATACAGCAGAAATGTCTAATCCTGAATGAATGAAGAAGTGTGTGTGTATGTGTGTGTGTGTGTGTGTGTGTCTGTGTGTGTGTGTGTGTGTGTGTACAGACATATATGGGTATGTGTATGTATCCTACATTCGTGCTCCGGTCATTTTCAACTGGACATGAATTTGCCATTTCTTTAATGGGAGCACAGGTTATATTTTAGCCCTATTAAAAATCACTGAGCCCTCCATGAGACCATAATGTATCCCTTCCAAATTCTGAGCCCACAGGCACTGGAGACCCCCAGGCAAAAGTGGATTAAGTGGGCAAGCTATCTAGTGCTTAAATTACTTGATGCATAAGGGCAAGGTTTTCTGAAACCTGACCTCATTACCCTTATACAGTCTCATGTATGGGTCTACTGATATAAATGATAGAGAGAATGGCAGACATGTTTACAAAGACAGCCTCTGAGATCGGGAGGGAGCCCCTTGTAGCTAAGGGACTGGCAGCTGTGGAGGTGCACAGAAGACAAAACGAGGCCCCTAGGCAGGCACAGCGCTACCTGCAGCAGGGTCCCCTCCAGGGCTCTGTGTGTGTGCGCGTTTGTGTGTGCGCGTGCGCGTGCACGCCAGTGTTGGACGAAGGCTGGCCAGGTAGGCAGGGGAGAGAAGCTGCGACCCATCTGTCGCCTCAATTTGCAGAACACCAAACCTTGTGGGCAGATAAAAGTCTTGTGCCCAGAAAAAGGGGGGAAAAAGGAGAGGAAGAAAGAAATTTTCCCCAGGAGGGGCCTCTGCAGCCCAGCAAATGAACCTTG